GCTCATGGGTGCTTGAGAACGCTCCTGTAGGGAGAGCAGCAGGGTGGCAGTCCTGAAGGACAGAACAGCGTTAAAAGGAGCTGGGGGCGAGGGGTTTATCCACTGCTTTAGTTGTTGGGATGCAGCTGGATGGGAGGTGGAAGCTGAGGAAGGTCTCTAAGGTGTGGATTTCAGGTGTTGGGCTGTGCCTCGTGATTCGGTGGAGGTTGGATTGTACAGCTCTGAGGATGGTGTGGAGCTGCTTTGGTCTGGTTAAACCCATGGACGGTGCAGTCTAAGGAGAGGAGATGCCACCCTGTGGCATTTTTGACTTTTGGAGATTGCCTTTGAACCTGCTTCTCCATGCTGATTCCCTCCTGCTTTCCATCCTGCTGCTCCTCTGGGGATTTTGGGGTTGCAGGGGGTGAGGTGTTGTAGCATCCAGAGTTTATTTGCTGGCTGGGGTTCCCCGTGTGGCTTTGGGACAGTGTCACCAGAAACACCAGGTCCCTGCTTGGGCAGGGCATTGCCATGTGCCATGGGTGTGTTCCTGACAGGACAGCAGGGCAGGATTGGGATCTTTGGAGTCGGCAAGCAGGAGTGGGGCTCTCCAATGAGAACTGATGCTGTCCCACCACATTTTAAAAGCAATGCATTTGCAGCACTCCTGGCTGCAGCCTGTGTGTATCCAGTAAGCTCCTACCTCTCTCATCCAGGTGCATTCCCAAAGTCAGCTGGTGTTTATCCTATGCCTTTCCCAACCCTGCTCCCGGCCCTCCTCATTCTCTCAGTGTCTTTGCTGTTTGATTCCAATGAAAGGGGTCAACTGGCAGCAGCCTTCAACATGAACATCTTGGAATGGGAGAGATCTCTGGTGGAAATCTCAGCAGAGGTGGATCCTGCCACTTCTCTAAAAACTCTTGTGCTGCTCGTTCTGCCTCTGTACTGGTGCTCAGCTGCAACGCCAGTGTGGCAGACAGGGAGGGAAAGCACGTTCCTGCTTCAGGAGATAACAATCCCTGGGGATTTTACTTCCAGCGAGCAGTGGGGGTCCGAGGGGGTTTGGCTTGTCCTGCAGGGATGCTGCCCTGCTCTGCTCGCTGGCCTTCAGGGGCTGTGTCCCCAGCTCGGGCCATGTGCTGGGAACTGTCCTGGGGCTGGGACGTGGCTTGGCAAGCTGGGGACACAAAAGCCACTTTGCTCACATGCTGCATCCCAGCTCCATGTCCTCCGTCCTCTCCTCTGCCCTTCTGCTTTGCACTCGCAAGGGGAAGGTGATCTTCTGCCTTAAGCATTCTTATTTCTTTTTTAATTTGCGTTTTTATACCAGAAGGCAATCAGATTGTTTTGTCTCCTTGGAAAGAGGGGCTGGGGCTCCTGGGGGAAGAGTGGGAAATCCCTACAGTACCTCTGCAGCAGTCACGGCTGGGCTCAGTGGCTGTCACCTCATCAGACCTTGCCTCCTTTACATGACCCCATCCCAAACTCTGCACCTTGGGGCCAGTGTCCCCTGCTGCCACTGTGGGCTAAACCGGTGTGTCACCATCCCTGGGGGCTTTGATCCCAGGAAAAGGAGAGGGAAGGGACACAACACGGGAAGCTCCCCGATGCTGACACCCCAGCCCTGTTCCCGGTGGGAGCCAAAGGCTGCCCTGGCACAGGGGGCAAGAGGCACGGCCCCTGCCTGGCACGGTGCCCTGCGGCCTGACAGACCCTCAAGCTCTGTAAACCAAATTGCAAACTCTTCACTCCAGAGGAGGAATTGGGCATCCTGGTAGAACTTGCCATGACCTCTCCATCCCGTAGGTCCTCGTGGCCAAGGATCGGTGCTCGGAAGGGGCCCGGAGTGGAAATGCCAAAGTTCCCCCCGGGCCCCGCTGCCGCCTTCCTCTCCCCTCCCCGCTGTGTTGGTCTAAATGATCTTTCTATGAAGCCCTGTAGATGTCAAAAGTAATTATGGAGTGTGATTAGTCCTCTGTGGGTGCTTTCTTTCTTCCCCTCTCCTTACTCTTTTGCTATCCCCTTCTCCACTCTTCTGTTCTGGCTCAGTGGAAAAGGTGAGGACAAAGAATTGCCGCTTGCTTGGACTCATGATGTATCTGTGACTGCGCTATTAGCTGTCTCCTCCTTCCTCCCCAAATGGATATCATTTTTGAAGTGTGGAATTCCCTTCTTGATAAGTAGGTTTAAAAAAAAAAATACTGCACAATGTGATACTGTTTCATAGTTTCTAGGTGGTTGTATACAGCAAAGTTACTGTGATTGTGTTTTTTCAAAGGAAAAAGTGATTGGTTACGAAATCTGTCCTTTTTTCATTATTACAAGCTCTTTGTTTTCCAATGATCTGATGGCTCTTTTGTCCCTGGTCTGTGTGTGTGTCTTCCCAAGTCCCACCCCTGTGCTGCATCCACCCATGGAGCGTTGGCTCCTGCTGCTCTTGCTCTCCTGGGAGCTGTGGGATGTCGCTGGTGGCTGGAGGTGGAGGACATCCCTGTCCTGGGAGGAGGTGGAGGTGCCTGGAGGAGGGAGATGTCTGAGGAGGGGTTGGAGGGGCTCACTGAAGCAGCCCAGGTTTCCCCCAGCACCAGCCCAGCTCACACCCAGCATGCCAGGGGCTGGTGCTGGGGGAAACCTCCTGCCCAGACTGTGCTGTGCTGGCCAAAGGCCCGTGGTGCTTTTGGGAGCCTTTGGTTGCCTCTCTCCAGCCGATCTCCAGTCCAAGGTGGTGTCCTGCCAGCACAGTGTGTGACCAGAGGCTGAGCAGCCCAGCCCTGGGTTGTTCGGGGTCTGTGCTTTTATTTTGCTCTTTAAATCTCTTCATTGCCTCTTGCAATCAATCTCCCTCCAGAAGAGAGCCCAGAGCCTTGAAATCACTCTAAGCCTGTTGCTGCTCACAGCAGCCACTTCCCAGAGGTTTAATCCCAGCCACAGCTCCCTGCTGGCATTCCTGGCTGGTGGCAGGAGCCTGGCTGGTGGCAAGAGCCCTCCTGCTGCCCTTGCTTTGGCACCTCACCCCAGCTCCATGGGGACATCTCCCAGGCGTGTGTCACCTCCAGAGCCCAGGCAAAGGAGCCAGGATCCCGTTCTGGAATGGCCTGCAGGTAAGGATGGGTCCTGGTGTCCCAGGGGAAGTTGGACCCCAGTGCTGGGGGACAGGGTGAGGGTGGTTCCTCTGCCCTGGGCTCTTCCACACAGAGCCCTCAGCTGGCCCTTCCTGCCTGGAAGCAGCCAAGGGAAGGTGCTCGTTCTGTCCCCCATGGAGTCACCCCGTTGCCAGCCCCCCTGGGGAAGGAAGCCCTTGGGCTCAGGTTTGGCTCTGAGGACGGCCCCATGGCCACCGGGGTGGCCGGGGACATTTTAAGAAGATAAAAGTGATTTCTTGCTGCTCGTGCTGGCAGGGGCCGGTGCGGCCAGAGCCAGGAGGATTAAAACAATTTCATAATCCTGGTGATTTCCTTTTGATCGGGATTATGAAACCAATCACGAATATCAAAAGCCACAGCTTAAAGCGGCAGCCGGAGCGGGGCCGGGACGCCCTGGGCCCCCTCAGACCCCCGGTGCCCCCAGCCCTGGCACCTCCAGGTAAGCGCTGCCCACCCGGGACCCTCGGGGGGCAGGATGGGGCTGTTGGTGTGCGGTGGGCAGGCACGTGGGGCATGCCGGCTTTGGAGGCAGGGATGTGTATGGATGCACCCAGCTCGGCTCCCACCGCCCTCCTGCCTGGAAATGCCACGGCCCTGGCTCGCCGTGGGTCCGAGCGGGATTTGGCCTCTGGAAAGCAGGAGAATTTAGCAGAGCTGCAAACGTGTGATGCTCGCAGGAAGGTGCCGAGAGCCGGCGGGCTCTGCGGCTGCAGAAATGCCCCCGCCGAGGAGCACAGCCCCCCGGCACCCGGGCAGGGCCCGGACAAAGGACATTCCTGAGGGAGGCCGGGGCAGGATCGCTCCGTCCCGGGCCGCTGGGCTCCCCTCCTGGGGAGTTCCCGGGCTGGCAGCCCCTGTCCCCAGCGTGGCGGTGGCCGGGCCCTGCGGGGACCGGGCGGTCCCGGGCCGGCTTTGGCCGGGTGCACGGAGAGGAGGAGGAGGAGGAGGAGGAGGAGGAGGAGGAGGAGGCCGGGGCGGGAGGCAGGGCCAGCCACGGCCCCACAGCCCAGCCAAGCGGCTGAGCTGGAGCTCGGCTGGAGGGGCTGGGATTTGCTGGTTTGGCCGTTTTTTTTTTTTTAATTTCTTTTTTCCCTCCCCTGCTTCCTTCCCTTCTTCCGCTTTCTTCTCCTTCTTCCCAGCCCTCTCCCGATGCTGCTCCGGGGGTAAGGACAGCCCTCGCATCCCGCCCGTGGCCCCGTCCCGCTCAGCCTGGGCCAGTGAGGGGCTGCTGGGCGCCGATGGGGCCCGGGGATGCCACCGGGATGCTCCTGCAGCCCCAGCCACGGGGGAGGCTGCTCCAGGGCTGCCAGCGGGGACAGGATGGGACGGGATGCTCCCGGCGGGGTGCAGGAGGGCAGCGGCTCCTCGGTGCCACCGGGGCGGGCGCAGGACGAGTGCCACGTGTGGCCGCGGGGGCCGGGGCGGAGCGGGGGCTGGGTCTGCCCGGTGCCACCTTCGGCGAGTTGTCCGGGAGGGATTTGTGTTCCGCGGAGGTCTGGGGCCCTGCTTTAGCTCAGGAAGTGTCAATTCCCTCCGGGCTTTCTCGCTGGGTGCCCCAGGGCACCGGGAACAGTGCGGGGGGCACTCGCGCTGCTGCCCAGCCCCTGGCCGCCCGTTTTGGGGAATCACCGATCCCTCATTGCTGCCCCATTCCTCCTGCTCCCTAGTGATGCCGGCATGGTGTCGGTGCTCCGGGTGGATGGGTGGCCTCGTGCTGTGTCACCTCGCTGTCCCCTTCCTCTCCAGGCACACGCCGGTGGCATTGCGTGCTTTTACCCCCCAGGGCAGGTGGGGCGATGCCCTTTGTGGGTGGGTGGGCTCTGGGGAGGGCAAGGGCAGCGCAGGGGTCATTCGCTGGGTTTTATCCCTGCAGGAATCATGGAGGGGAGCCCTCCCGCTGAGGCACGGCGCCTGCCGCGACCCCCCAGGCAGCACCCCCAGGGCGGCCGGAGCCCAGCCCCGCTGGAGCGCCCCGAGGCCGCCCGCGGCCCCCACGCCGTCCTGGAGGGCAAGGTGAAGGCGCTGAAGGAGAAGCAGGGCGGGCGGCCGGGGCCCCCCGCGGCTGCCCCCGAGCGCCCCTCGCCCAAGAAGGCGCGGCCCCGGCGGGGGAAGCCGGGGGCGGAGGGGGCGGTGGAGCCGCGGGCGCAGCTCCGCACCTACCTGACGGACGGGCTGCTGGACGGGGGGCCGCCCCAGCCCGCCCCGGCACCCCGCGCCGCCACCCCCGGGCTCTGGAGGGTCCCGGCACCCAGGGGAGATGTGCCGCGGGGCCCCGAGCTCCCCCCGGACGAGGGCAGCAGGTCCTGGCACTGTGCCTCCCTCCATGAGAGACCCTCCCTGGATGAAGAGGCCCGGAGCCCGCTGCGGGAGCGGGGCCGTGCCTCTGTGCCCGAGGCCGAGAGCTGGGAGAGGCTCTCGCTGGCTGAGCGGGTGGAGAGGAACCGGCGGCTGCTGCAGGAGGTGCTGGGCCTTGCCACTCCCGGTGGGTATTTTGGGAAGGTGGCGGCTCTTTCAGGACAGCTGGGTGAAGTGGGAGGGAAAACCTTTGGGATGAGGCCAGCCTGCAGCCTCCCACGCTGCAGGTGCAGCTCCCTGCTGCCTCACAGCCCAGGGCTGCCCCATCCCCTGCACCGGGGTGTAGGACATGCCCACGGGATGCTCTGGGTGATACCTGTCAGTCCCGTCTGGTGTCCTGGTGAGGAATTTCACTGCTGAAGCAAGAGCAAGAAAATTATGGGGACACGCCAGGTCTGTGGGCATCACTGTGCTTTGCAAGCTGCCACCAGAAAAGAGAATAAAGTTTCCTTTGATGGCATCTGCCCCAATGACCCCATGCCCCCATCCCCACGGTCCCACACATACAGCCAGGTGTTGTTGCTCCACATTCCACTCCTTTGGAATCTCCCAGAGCCAAATGTCTGGGTGAGCCCTGTGGAGGGTGTTGGGATGGGATATATGGGGGCTGCTATCAAGAGGATGGGGGCTGCCATCCAACCAGGCTAATGCCTTGTCCTGTCCTGCATTTCAGAGATGCCAGCAAGCGATGGGGACTGGGACTCGGGGGTTTCACTGCAGGACGCTGAGGGCTGCAGGTAGGTCAGTCCCAGCGTGGCAGAAATGGACATTTCCCTCTTTCCCACTCCCAAGTCTTGTATTTTAAATGCACCTTTGAAAGCAGCTCCCGGGAAGGGCTGTGGGGCAGCTGGCGAGAGAGTGTGGCTGGGCCCCAGCCATGCTTCTGTGGGATGAGGGACAGGAGCTGGTGTCTGAGCTCAGGACATCCCTGCCAGGATGCCAGGGCAGGAAGGGAACTGGGCAAGAGGATGGGACAGAAGTTTGCTCCAGGTGCTTAAGAGGATCGAGGCGGCAGGAGTGTGTAATCTTGTTGGGCTAATGAAAAACCTTAGAGGTACGGGCTAAAAATAAGGAGGTGGCAGAGGCAGGTGAGAGGCTGGGGGCTGCAAAGGGCAGAACAGTGAGTGGGGAAACACCTCCCCAGTATTGTGGTCACTGCCTCTGCTCTGCTCTGGCAGCTGGATCAGTGATGGGGGTGCAAGGCAGAGCCGGGGATGCAGCACCTCCTGTGAGCAGGGCAGCCAAGGCCTGGGGGAGGCCTGGGCCTCCCCTGGTGCTGCCGGGGAGCAGCGTGTGCCCACCGTGCTGCACTGAAGAGGTTAAGGCCAGGCTTCCCGAGGAGACTGCCTGAGCTGATTATTTTAATCAGGAGGATTAGGGCCATGGCCAACCAGGAAGGCAGTGGTGCAGCAGGGAGAGCTGTCAGGTCCCTCACCCTGCAGTCAGAGGGGGCTCGGGGTGCGGGAAAGACCCCCTGCAAGGAAGGCAAGGCAATCAGGTCGGGGGGCCACCCCAAACCTCCGTGCCTCCCCACCACCGCGGGATTTACACCGGCAGGGATGGGAAGCGCTGCCTGCCCGCGTTTCCCTGTCCACGGCACAAAGCTCGGCAGAGCCTGTGCCCGAGCTGTGGGGGTGCTCAGCCTGCCCCAGAGTCTCACCTGGCACCGGGGCTGCGGGGTGCCCGCCCGGCCATCCCCGGCACGGCCAGCCCGCCCGTGAGTGGCGGCCAAGCCCCGTTTTCCCTGGGCAGAGCAGCCTCGTCGTCACTGTTAAAGCACGTCTAATCCCTGTTATTTTTTCCTAATCCCGCTGGCCGCTGCGGGGCCGCAGGGCCGCGGTGGCCGGGCAGGAGCTGGAGCTGAGCCCGCGGCACGAGCAGGCCAAGCAGCTGCTGCAGCGCGCCCGCATGAAGGCTCGCACGAACCCGCTGCGCGCCAGCCACGACATCCTGCTCGTCCCCGCCGCCGTCCCGCAGCCCAGGTCAGTGCCCCACGGTGCTCCCAGGCCCGCAGCCGGGTTTGGGGCACATCCACACGGTGTTCGGAGCGGGCACATGCGTGCAGGCAGGCGTGCGGAGCCGGGATCCGACCCGCCGCCTCGTACCCTGGATGTGCCCGACCTCTTTCGCAGTGTTTGGGAGACTTTTCGTTAATTGTGGTTTATGATCACACGGAAGTATCGATGGTGGGAGGGTGGCGTTTCCCAGGTGATGGGGAATGTTTTCCCGGGCGAGACTCGCTGCTGGAGGCTGGACCACAGCGGCGTCTCGCCGGGTCATGTGCGATGTGGTGTTCCTGGAATGATTAACCACACACCTCGGGCAGGGAAGGGGCGATGGAGGTCGAGCCGTGGCAGCCCGGAGGTGCCGCAGCCTCTCCGGGTTTCAGCTCCAGGCTGGAGGGCAGCAGGGCTGTGCACAGGACTTTCCTCCTTGCCCCGTCTTTTGCGCTGGGTTTTCCCCCTCCCGCCCTGCTTTGCCGGGGTTGCCGAGCAGCCCCCGCAGCTCGCCTGCAGGGCGTCCGTCTGTCTGTCCCCATGGCAGGGAGCCCAGCGGGAGGCCGGGCGTCGCCCCGCGGGACGGCGGGAGCCTGAGCGACTCGTCCAGCGGGGAGTCGAGCTGCGGGCGGCCGCGGCGGCCGCGGGGACCGTCCCCGTCCCGCGTCCGCTTCGAGGACGAGTCGGCCCGGGACGCCGAGGTGCGGTACCTGGAGCGGCTGCAGCTGCGGCACCGGCGGGCGCTGGGCTCGGCCATCGCCTCGCCGGAGCCGGCCGGCAGCAGGCAGCCGGGGGACGGCGCTGGCCAGCCCAAAGCCCGCAGTGGCGACCTCGTGGCCGGGGGCAAGTGCAGCGCCTGCGGCTCCTTCCTCGGTGCTGCCGCCGGCCGGGGCACGGACACGCAAGCTGTCCCCGAGCTGGCCAAAAGTAGCCCTGCGGCACAAAGAAGCGTTCCAGGGGATAGCAGAGGGCCGGGCGCTGCCCAGACAGAGCCTAAAATCAGGCCTCTGGGCCCCGGAGGGTCCCCGCTGTGGATCCTGCCCTCCCGGCAGCGCATCCACACCGAGAAGATCAAGGAGACCTACATCGGAGATGTCACCTACATCGACGAGGTGGACTCGGCCCTGGAGAGCACCGACACCTCGGACGGCTGCCGGACGGACAGCGAGGAGGCAGGACCCCGCAGCCCCCACCTGCGGGGGCACCGGGACCCCCGCACTCGCGGGCACAGAACTGCCCGCGCTGCCCCGCAGCCTGAGGCCAGGGCCAGGAAGGGAACGTGTGCGCCCAGCGGGGGCCCCGAGCACGGGGACTCGGGTCCGGGGCCTGTTTGCCCCCCACCACCGGGAAGAACCAGGAGCCGGGAAGATGGGGAACCCCATCAACATCTGGGGGGCAGCAAGGGAGTGGGGAATACAGCTGCCCCCCCGCAGCAGCCCAGTGAGCCTCTGGAGCCTTCCTCGCAGCTGAGGAGCAGCACCCCCATCCCAGGCACCCACGTCCCTGCTCCCCCTCATACCAAGAAGGCCTGCGCCCAGGTGCCTTGCAGGAAAGCCCTGTTCTCCATCAGCACCCGCCAGGCGCCGAGCCAAGGAGTCCGGGGCCCGGAGCCGGATGCTGGCAGCGCAGCCCCACCGCAGCCCGGGGGCACGGCGGGGCCGGCCGAGCGGCGGAGTCCCTGCAGCCCCCGGTGGCTCCCGGGGAGCCCCCTCCGTGCCTTGTCCACCAACAACTGCAACAACACCCACGGGCAGGACGCCCCGGGGGCGGGCAGAGGTAAGAGACCCACGCATGGAGTGCTGGGGGTGTTCCCAATGAAACAGGCGTGTGACTGTCTCACTGTGGTTGCAGGGACACTGTCACACCCCGCTGGCAGCCCTGTCACCGCCGTGCCCCCGGAGGCTGCTCATCCTGCCGGGGAAGGTGCCGGGATGTCGGGAGCGCAGCCACAGCGGCACCCGGCCGGGAGCGCGGCACACGGGTGAGCGAGCAGGGGCAGCCACGGCATCCCAAATCGTACAGCCCTGAGCTCCCTCCTGGGCACTGCGGGGTGCTGCTGGGTTCAGCTCCCTGGCTACAAGAACCTCACAGAAACCACAGTGTGGGGGTTGCAATGGGCCCGTGTGTTGCTGTGGGCTTGGGGGAGCTGCGTTTCGCCACGTCTGGTTCTGCCGGGGATGTTAGAGCAGAGGTGTTTCCCTGGTGTCAGGTGGGGAAAATCAGCCACCTTGGGGCTTTCCAAGTGCGATCCTGCCAGCCCTGTGCCTGGCGCTGCATCTCTCAGCCTGGCAGGAGAGTTCCAAGGTGGTGCTGGGTCCTCTGAGCCCGTTGGCAGGATGTGATGCCTTGTGGCAGAGCGGGAGACTTCTGAGATGTGTTAAACCCCTGAAATAATGGAGAAAACAGGGAGGGAGCCCTTCAGGTCACTTCGGGTAGTGACAAACTTGTGTGCTGGGGCACTGCTGCGGGGAAGAGGCCGTTCCCGATCTCACCGTGCACCCCGATCTCACCGTGCGCCCCGATCTCGCCGTGCTGCAGCTCTCAAGGCTGCCAAGGCGGGTGCAGGATGCGCCCCCAGCCCAGAGGCAGCTGCAGGTCCTGCAGCCCCTCGGTGTGTGACCGCCACGCCTCTCCACCCAGGGAGCCGGGGCGGCCAGTGAGCCGCAAGGGCAGCGGCGCTTCGGCCTCGGGGCTGAAGAAGCTCCTGTGCAGCCTGAGCCAGAGCACCAAGCAGCGCCTGGGCCGCTTCCGCTGCTACAGCATGGAGCAGCTCCCGGCCCCCGGCGGGTCCCCGCAGGGCAGCCCCGGTGTCAAGAAGTCACCGTCCCTGCAGTCCCTGCAGCTGGTGAGCTTGGCCATCGCCCCATGCGGGGAGACTGGGGTGGCACAAGGGAAAGGATGCTGGGCTGGAATGAAGTGTTCCTGAGTATGGATTTGTGGCTCAGGCGGGCCTGGAGGGGGCGTGGGGGGATGCGCCACTCCAAACCTGCTGCGTTTGAAAAGTCCGGAGCCGACTGGGAAGTGGAAGGGGGAAGGAGGGAGAGGGGGGTAGTAGTGGAAGAGCGGATATGCTCATCCCTCCTCAGCAGTGAGTTGGGGAATGCTCCAGGGGGATGGGATGTTCCAGTTCCTCCACTCCCTACTCCCTGACTCCATCAGTGGGTGAAGCACTGTGGTGCTGCACAGTGTTTGTCCCCATCTCAGCCAGATGTTTCTCCCCAGGTGTCACCCTTCTGCCAGTCCCAAAAAGCTGCTTCTATCCAGAGCCTGCATCCCCAGCTGGGGAAGGCACCTCGTGCCAGTGCCTACCTCCTGCCCCAGACCACGGCTGACAGGTAGGATGTGGGCCAGCACATCCCTGCGGTGCCCAGGACGCTGTTCTGGGCTGCTGTGGTGGCTCGGTGCCGCCAGGGGCTGCATCACCCGGTGTCCAGCGCTTCCCTTGTCCCCACTCACCCACCTTCCCTCTCGCCACAGGAAGGGGGGCTCAGGGCCGCAGCGCTCGCTGAGCGTGGAGGACATCGGGGCGCCCGGCCAGCTGCGGGCGGTGGGGCGCGTGGTCGAGGTCTTCCCCGATGGCACCAGCCAGCTGGAGCTGCAGCGACCCCCCCACGGCGCCTTCGGCTTCTCCGTCACCTCCGGACACGGCCGGCCCGACACAGGTATTGCGGGATCGTCCCAAAGCTCCGGCACACTGTGATCCCTCCACGGTGGCTCTCGTCCCACCCCAGGGATGAGCTCGGGCACGGGTGCAGGAGGTTGCTCCATTGCTGCAGCAGTGGTGCAGGAGGGGGGACACTGCCACGTGTGGCTTTGGCCACGCGCAGTCCTGCGTGTCCGTCAGCGCTCGGCTTGGGACACGCGGCCCCCGCCAAAGGCCGTTTGTCACAGGCTTGTTTCTGTGCAGCCCCTGGGCGCTCCGGGGCAGGAAGGGCTCTCACCCATCCCCGTTCCCTCTGCAGGCGTCTACGTGCAGGAGATGGCGGATGCTGGCACGGCCAAGCTCTACGCGGGGCTCCTGGGCGTGGGGGACGAGATCCTGCAGGTCAACGGCGCGGCCGTCTCGGGGCTGGGGCTGGCCCACATCCGCCAGCTGCTGCTGCAGGCCGACAGCCTGGCCCTGCGCGTGCTCCGGCACCGCCCGGCGCCGCGCTAGCCTGGCACGGCTCCTGCCGAGCCGGCAAGAGGAGGAGGATGTCCCAGTGATGGGAGAAGGAAGATGGCCCGGTGATGTCCCAGGATGCTGCAGAATGGCGTGGCACGGACCAAGCTGCCTCGCAGTGCCGGGACCTGCCCGGCTCCACTGCAGTGGGGGAAGGTGGCTTTCCTTGTGCCCCTGGGAGAGTGTGGGACCAAGGAGCCCCCAGAGTCTCCAGGAGCTGCCCAGGCGTGAGGGACACGGGACAGCCTGGCCCCAACGGAGCCGGGTGGGTCTGTCCTGCTGGGCACTGGGGTGACCGGCATGGGGACACCCCATCTCCGTGACCCCAGGAGACAGAGGGCTTCCTGCCAGCACTGCCACCTTGTGCTGGAGGGCTGGTGAGGTTCTTTTAAATTATTTCAAACTGAAACCCAAAAATACATCTCTGCAATAACAAATCAGTGCTCTTGGCTTGTGACATGGAGGGGTTGGGGTGGTGCTTGTGGCCGTGGGGCCTTTGCTACTTGTTTCCCCATGGCCCTGCTGCTCCACCAGCCACCTCCTGACCAAGCTGTGGTGCTGGGGGGGCCTGGGCAGGTAGGCAGGGGGGCTCAGCCACCTGCAGGGCTCCTTGGGGATTTTGAGGGGTTCTTTTTTCCAGCCATGGAAAGCAAAACACGTCCTTGGAGTGTTTCCAGCAGCAATGGCTGCCTTCTGCACAGTGGTGCCCCACATCTGGGCACAGCTGTTTGCAGCAACCCCACATCTGGGCACAGCTGCCCACAATGCTGAGGTGACCCCAGAAACTGCAGATGCTGCTTATGCCTCAAAAACCAGGATGGTGATGCCTGGCAAATGCTGGTGGCAGAGCTTTTCCCGCTCCCTGATGCCAGCAGACCCTGAGCTTGTCCCGGGAGCAAGAGTCATGCAAGGAGGAGTGGAGATCTACGCTGCTGCACCTTTATTTAGTGTTAAAGGGAAGGGCACCACCAGCGACAGAAAAGCAAATGTACACGAGGAAAGGGACCAGAGACACTCGGGTGGCTTGTGGTGATGTCAGCAGCTGGGCCACCCCCTGGACTACCAAAGGAGCGCTCCTACATGGGAGTCATTCCCGAAGGATGCACAAACACGCTGGAAGTAACGGGGATCAGAGGTGTGCAAACAGCAGCCAGCAGCGAGCCCTGCTCCCTGCCCAGACCCGTGCTGCTGGGAACCTGCTCCTGGAGAGGTACAGACCCACGGAGCGGCACAGACACTGCTACGGCCAGCCTTGGAAAGCAGACACCGCCTATGCCCTGCAGGGATGCTCTGCAAGGATAAGGAGCCACTCGAGGCACCGCGTGTGCGTTACTGACGGGCGGGCGGGGAGGCTCCGTCCGGCCCCGCCCGGCTGCGGAAGGCACCGAGCCGGCGGCTGTGCGTGCAGCCCCCGCGGGAGGGACGGGGGCCACGCAGAGCTCCGAGGGAGCCACGAAGCCCGTGGGGGGAGGAGCGTTCAGTTCCGGAGGTAAAGCCGTGCGGTGGCAAGATTCTAAGGCGGGGGATTTTGGGGGTGATTTGCAATTTCAGCAGAAGTCTTTGCGTCAGTGCCAATTAACTTCCTCCCCCAGCCCCATCTGGGAGCCATAAGCCAGGCTGTGCCGAGTCTTTTCATGTTTGCAACTTAAAATATGGGAGCAGATTGGAGTAAGAAACCGTTTTTGCTTTCCTCAAGAGTCACCCCCTAGCCCACAACTGGTGCTTGCAGCACGTTTCCTCTTCCTGTTCCTTTGCAGTGATACTGCCCAGGTGAGCTTTTTTCACCCCAGTTTTGGTACTGCCCACCTGGCTACTCCACATTCCCCGTAGGGAATCCAACACTGCTGAGACAACTGGAGTGACAAACAACTGGGAGGTGACAAAAGGACTGGGAAGGAATATGGAAACATGATCTAGCTTTGAATCTCCTGCCTTTTGGTTGCTTACAACGGAGGTGTCCAAAAAATAGCGGTTGGGAAAAATTAAGACATCCTATTTACAAGTTCATGTACACTTAAAATACATCACTGAGCACTGTTCCTCTGATCATGTGTGTCGTGCACCCGCAGAGAGAACGTGGCCCTAATGGTCATCAAAAAAATCTTTAAAGTTTTTTTTTTTTCCTTAAAAAAAATAAGTTATTTTAGACTTGGCAAATCACTTGCCAAAGGGAAGCAGCTGTTAAACAGAAGCAGTGACTCAGTTATACAAGGGCAAAGAAAGCATCAGTCAATGAGCTTTAGAGGCCTGTATAATGAGGGAGGCAAGTTTAAAAGCTTCAAGACTCTCCCTCTCTGGCTCACAGCTGATTGCCAGCGCTCGGTGTGCAGCACCCCAGGTTTGAAGCTCTGGGGTGTCTGACGGGGCCTGGGTGGCCGATGGCAGGACGTGAGACCCTACAGCTCTGCCCTCTGCCCAGGGAGAGGGCAGGAAAGCTCGGGCAGGACTCGCCGTGCTCTCGGCAGTGAGTTGGTGCTACAGAGCCCGCCCACAGGAGGCAGGGAGGGGCACGGGGAGCAGGGCCAGGGCTCCCCTCCCTTGCTGCGCCTTGGGGGGGTTTCACCGTTCCCAGTAATGCCTGAGGCTGGCACTGGCAACGCAGTTTGTAATGCTCAGTGAATTCAGTGAGTCCTCCCCCAATCCCACCCTCCCCAGGGCTCGCTGCTCTGCGTCCATCTCTCACCGGCTCCTACCTGCACCGGGCGGAAGCGCAGGGGTCAGGTTCCCCTCCAGCTCCATGGATCCAGACCCGGAGCCCAGGTCCAGACTGCACCGCAGCAGGGGAGGAGGCAGCTCCAGCGCTCCACCCCCTCTCCCCGGGGCCAGGGGAGATGCCAGTGCAGTCCTTGGAGGAGGATGGTGAGAGCTGGGTGCGGGTGTTCCTGCCGGGGATCTCTGTGGGCGGACGGAAATGGGGAGAATTTCATTTCCCCGCGCTGCCGGGGCGAGGGGCGGGGAGGGGGCGTCCCAGGAAGTTCAGTTTTTGTCATCACAGGACAAAAAACAGGATGAGCACCACTAGCAAGATGACGAAGAGGACAACAATTGCACACCACTGCCGTCGATCTGGAAAGAAAAGGAAGCATCAGTCTTCCTGCTTTAGTGGAGAAAGAAAATTTGGTTCTGCTAGGACCCAAATTCAAGCTTAAGCTACAAAAAGCCAAAACAACAGTTCCTGTGGGAGAAAAGCTGTGGCGCTGAATATTGCAGTGAGGCAATATTAATTCTCCTGCATTCTCCTCCAGGATACACTGGGGTTTGGGAACAGCTGTGGGAATTCTGAGGCTTCTTCCCAACCAAGTTCAAACAGCTTTGAAAAGCTGGCTCAAAAGCAATTGGGAGAACAAGCAGAGAGCTGCTGTGTTTGCTGTTCATTCATGGAGTAATCTGTTTGCCAGAGGAACAAGAAGGGATCCAGCGAAAGCTGCCCTGAAGAGCTCTGCCAGGAAGAGATTGTGGTGGCTTCCCTTAGGAGAGGGCCAGGAATCAGGTTTCCCTGGGCATCTCTACACCTCATTGGCTCAACACCACATCCCCTCTGAGAGCTGCTGTCTGCCCCATGAGATGATGGTGCAGCAGTGGGGACAGGGCTGCTGGCACCCCCTCAACTCCTAGACACAGTAGCTAGCCCAGAAAGAGCCCTCCCAGTCTCCCTGGCATAGGTGATACCAGCAGAAATTCCAGCTCTTTCACAACACTCTGCAGAGACCCACGGGTTTTCCCAGAGGAAAGGGCAGAGACACAGGGTTCACCTGTGTTTGTGCTGCTGCAGAGCTACTGCTGACCCAAAGTGCACCATCAGCACTCCAAGTGGTCTCTCTAGGGCTGTATTCCCACTACCTCATAAATCCCTCAGACAGCCTAATCCTGCAGAGCAGGAATGCTTTTCCTCCTGACAGGCTGCTGCTTTCCCAAGGTCCTGAGCACCCAGGGGAGAGGGGCGCTGGAGGAGGCGCTGCCTGGGCACGGTGCCAGGCTCAGAGGCAGCGGCAGCGTGGGACTTCCCGGCAGCCAGGCCGGGCTTCCTGTTTGCTCTGCCCGCGGCGCCCCGCCGGCCCCCCGGCTTCAGGCACAGCCTTTTAAGGACTTTTCTGTGGGTTCAGCTCAGAATTCAGCTCTTTCCTCTACCAGCTGAGTGAGATGGGAATGACAACAGCCTGCAGGCACCCGCAGCCCCAGGGCAGGTGGGATTTGGGAAGGGGATTGCTGCAGGCATTCTGGTAAGGGAGAAGCCACACACGTGGCCGGTGTTTAATGGCACCTTGACAGCTTTTGTTCCACAGGCAGCCCGGGAAACTGCAGCAGAGCAGGAGGCTGCAGAGCTTCCCCTCCCACCAGCTAGAGGGGGATTTTCCCAGCAGCAGCAGCATAAATAGAAAGGCATCTGTAAATAAAACAAAGGGAGGGGACAGGCAGCAGAGCAGTGTCTGGGCAGGAGCAGCTGCCGGGCTTGGAAACCTTCCCCTTCTTTCAAGAACTGAGAGCTGCTCCCTCCCCTTGGCTGGCTGGGTAGGAGCACAGTGTCCCAGCCTGAAGATCCAAGGGCTTGTCTCTCCCTTCCCAGGACTGGATCCCACTTCCCAGGACCTACCACTCGTCATGTGAGACACTTTGGCGAGCTTCTTCATGACGTTATCAAGGCGCGACTGAGTGCTGTCCAGCTCGTGGGAGAAGTCATCCAGCATCCTGAGGACACAGAAGCAGGGCACTGGTCAGCACGTGGCACATCCCTTGGGGATTGTGCACCACGCTCACACACGTGGATCAAAACACTGATGTGAGCAGAGTATCACACCCTGGCAGACAAAATGAATGTGGCCTCCTCTCCTGGAAGCACCCACGGGAGGGGAAAAAAACTGCTGAAACAGCAGCTCTGCTTTGGAGGGAAGTAACTCGGGATTCCTGCCAGACTGATCCTCCCTGGGTGTTTGTGGCTGAACTCTACACACATCTGCAAGGTGAGGAGTGGGGGAAGGGCTTCCTCCTTGCAAAAGGAAAGTCTCATTTATAATCTGTGATTAGCATCTACGTGTCAGCTTGGACTTTAAATCCCTTTTCTTGTTCAGGGCTTGCAGTTTAAACTAAAATCTTGTTTCAGTCAGGTATCAAGTGGGAACGAGATCTGCAGTTGCTTTTAAGGTGCTTTTCAAGCTCTGCATGGAAGTTACCCTTTTACTTCCTCCACACAGTGACTGTAATGAATCTGAAAGCCTTCCTGAATCCATGCTTTGTCAATGCCAGTGCGCATCCAGAGTCAAGGTACTAATCCAATTGTCTCCAGCCAGTGGGACTTTAAAGCTTAATGCATTTAAAAGGACAGACTCCTTCATTTGGAGTGCCAGGGCACTTGTTAAACCTTCATTCAGTGGGGAAAACCTCACTGTGGTAGTTAAGAGCTAATCGTGCAAGCATTG